TTTTAGTGTCCTATAAATATTTGTATACATGGACTCAATTCAGCGCTTATATACGGAAGAGGATTAGGGCCACTGGGAAAAAAAAAAAAGTAAACTGATTGTTAAATTTTATTTCAGTTTAACATGGGAAAAAAGTCAGAATTCTGAGATTAAAGTCAGAATTCTGACTTTTTTCTCAGAATTCTGACTTTAATCTCAGAATTCTGACTTTTTTCTCAGAATTCTGACTTTTTTTTATTGTCAGAATTCTGAGAAAAAAGTCAGAATTCTGAGATTAAAGTCAGAATTCTGAGAAAAAAGTCAGAATTCTGAGATTAAAGTCAGAATTCTGAGAAAAAAGTCAGAATTCTTTTTTTCCCATACTATACTGAAAAAAAAAAAAAAAAAATCAGTTAACTTTTTTTTTTTTTCCAGTGGCCCTAATCCTCTTCCGTACCTATACAGGTGCTGGTCATAAAATTAGAATATCATGAAAAAGTAGATTGATTTCAGTAATTCCATTTAAAAAGTGAAACTTGTATATTATATTCATACATTACATACAAACTCATATATTTCAGATGTTTATTTTGTTTAATTTTGATGATTACAAATGACAACAAATGAAAATCTCAAATTCATCATATCAGAAAATTTGAATATTACTGAAGACCAATAAAAACAAAGGATTTATAGAAATGTTGGCCAACTGAAAAGTATGAACATGAAAAGTATGAGCATGTACAGCACTCAGTATTTAGTTGGGCCTCCTTTGGCCTGTATTACTGAAGCAATGCGGCGTGGCATGGAGTCGATCAGTCTGTGGCACTGCTCAGGTGTTATGATAGCCCAGGTTGCTCTAATAGTGGCTTTTAGCTCTTCTGAATTGTTGGGTCTGGTGTATTGCATCTTCTTCTTCACAATACCCCATAGATTTTCTATGGGGTTAAGGTCAGGAGAGTTTGCTGGCCAATTAAGAACAGGGATACCATGGTCCTTCAACCAGGTACTGGTAGCTTTGGCACTGTGTGCAGGTGCCAAGTCCTGTTGGAAAATGAAATCTGCATCTCCAAAAAGTTGGTCAGCTGCAGGAAGCATGAAGTGCTCTAAAACTTCCTGGTATGTGGCTGCGTTGACCCTGGACCTCAGAAAACACAATGGACCAACACCAGCAGATGACATGGCACCCCAAACCATCACTGACTGTGGAAACTTTACACTGGACTTCAAGCAACGTGGATGAAGTGCCTCTCTTCTTTTCCTCCAGACTCTGGGACCTTGATTTCCAAAGGAAATGCTAAATTTACTTTCATCAGAGAACATGACTTTGGACCACTCACCAGCAGTCCAGTCCTGTTTCTCTTTAGACGCTTCTGACGCTGTCTGTGGTTCAAGAGTGGCTTGACACAAGGAATGCGACAGCAGAAACCCATGTCTTTCATACGTCTGTGTGTGGTGGTTCTTGAAGCACTCACTCCAGCTGCAGTCCACTCTTTGTGAATCTCCCCCACATTTTTGAATGGGTTTTGTTTCACAATCCTCTCCAGGGTGCGGTTATCTCTCTTGCTTGTACACTTTTTTCGACCACATCTTTTCCTTCCCTTCGCCTCTCTATTAATGTGCTTGGACACTGAGCTCTGTGAACAGCCAGCCTCTTTAGCGATGACCTTTTGTGTCTTGCCCTCCTTGTGCAAGGTGTCGATGGTCGTCTTTTGGACAACTGTCAAGTCAGCAGTCTTCCCCATGATTGTGTAGCCTATAGAACTAGACTGAAAGACCATTTAAAGGCTTTTGCAGGTTGTTTGAGTTAATTAGCTGATTAGAGTGTGGCACCAGGGGCCATCAATTTTGAACCTTTTCACAATATTCTAATTTTCTGATATGATGAATTTGAGATTTTCATTTGTTGTCATTTGTAATCATCAAAATTAAACAAAATAAACATCTGAAATATATGAGTTTGTATGTAATGTATGAATATAATATACAAGTTTCACTTTTTAAATGGAATTACTGAAATCAATCTACTTTTTCATGATATTCTAATTTTATGACCAGCACCTGTATATTCATGCTGACAATTAAAATGTTTGACATTAGATCCCTGCTTATAAGGTCACACACACAGCTGTATACACATAAACTGATTTGCACATGGGAAGGAAACTTAGGGTCAAGTGTGACATGGGCTGCTCTCTACTGTATAAATATAATGAATATATCACTCAGGTTGTCTACTTCAGCAGGAAGCCAGCATCAATGAGAGTATCAAATAAATTGTGTATATAGAGTGCACTCACCCTCCACCATGGGCTCCAGATGACCTGCTGTGTTCATAGTCCTCAGCGTGAAGATCAGCCCGATAAAAACCACGCTGGAAGACCCCATCTTCCAACTTCCCACTGCTTTCTCTCAGCTCTGCCACTCCGCCAACGTACAGCCCTTTCCCTAAATCCCACTGTTACTAGAAGATGTAGCACCTCTTCCCTTCCCCAACCCATGAAACCCTTACTCTAATGAACTGGGACCCCCCTGCCCCTAAAACACCAGTTTGAATGATGCTTCAGACAACAATGAGATTCCACACATGAATGGGGGAAACCGAGGGGAGTCCAAGGTAACATGGAGAAACCCGCCTTCTGCAGAGACGGCGTCTTAGTAAACACCTTACGAGAGTTTCTTACCACAGGGAGCAGCTATACATCTGGTAACCATGTCAAAAGACAAGGTTGGTCTTTGTTCGCTCTTTCTTTTGTCTGCCCACTTTAAAACATTTTACTGGTGCGGGAATCCCAGTCAGTAAGGACAAAAGGAACTCATTGCAGGTCAAGGGCAATTCACTGACCGCTTTGCATGTGTGTGGTTAAACAGCACCGTAAAATCCAGCTACTGCATGCAAATGCAAGAGATGGATCCTAATTTAAGACAGCAAAACCTCGACTCTACATGTAATCTATCATACGGAGCATTAAACCCGTCCAAGTAATTTGCAAAGGGAAATTAGTTGTTTTAACTTACTGGAGCAATGAGGCAGAAACCCTCTCAGCTTTTTCAAGATATATGAGTTCTTTTCATAAGATTGTTTCTCCAAAGCAGCAATATGAGCCATTATTTTTTATATATATTTTTTGCAAATGAAAGATATAACTTTGGTCTAATTGCCAGTAATTGTTTTAACAGATTAGCAAGCATTAGTATGGATGTGGAACCTGTTTTCTGGGCGTAAGACTGGAGTTGATTGAACTTACTTCAATATTCCACTTCAATGAAATCAGTAAGTAAAATAAATAATAGTGCAGGAAAAAATATTTTCATTCACACGCTTTTATTTTCTGAAAGCTGTAACATCAATGGAAAGATTTCATTGTGGCGACACAGTAGGATTATACACTTGTTATAAAAATGAAAGGAACGCTTTTTAACCAAAGTGGAGTCTGTTCAATTTCCAGAACATCTATCTGGTCAGGTAAACAGAAGAGCCATTGTTTGTGACTGTCAGCTGTAATGAAGGGGCAACAATGAGATGGCCGTAGCAGGCCACAGACATTTCTGGCTCCCTCCTTTCTTTACGGGTAGATTTTGGATTCTTCCAGGATCAGAGTCACTGCTGGTAACATGAGGTAAAACCTGGAGGCCCCCTATCGGTATCGGCCTGTATCGGCCTTAAAACTGAATATCGGACATCGGCCACCCCACCGATATTTAACCCGATATTTGATCAACTTCTGAGTTTCTAAAGCCTAAAAAAAAAAAATACTACTACCTCTTCCTCAAAAACTTCTTTTTTACAGACTTAAAAACTTCTAAAGACGAGGGAAAAAATATTGATACATTAAAATATCCCAATATCTTCTCTTCATATGCTGATATATTGCCATTTAAAAACACCATATCAATCTCTTTTACTAATGAAATATTGCTATATGTCATCGTTATGCTACGAAATCCCCCGAAAATTCACAAAATGTTGCCATATTTTTATATGTTGAAATATTGACGCGGTATCGAATCGTTTACTAACAAAATCTCACAAGTTTTTGCAAAATATCTCGAGAGTTTGTAACAGAAGGATGAAATTTCACGAGATTTTGAAAGTAAAATAGATCGATACCGCGTTTTTAAAAATGAATTTGATATCGGCATATGAAAATATATTTGAGTGTATTATTTTTCAAAGTGTCAGAAATGGATAAACTGCTATTTTCAATGACTACTTATTTTTGTCCAGCTTTAACATCGGTATCGATATCGGTTATCGGCTACATGAGTTTTAAAATATCGGCATATCGGCCAAAATCCCAATATCGTGCCCTAGTTATACAGGCAGTCTGTCTGGGTTTGGTGGGTCCAGGTTCCTCCTGGTGGATGATAATGCGAAGCCTCCAGTGGCAACAGTGTGAATGCAGTTCATGGAGGATGAAGGAATTAAAAACATAGTCTGGCCTCCATGACCACCAGAACATCACAGGGACATCATGTTTAGGTCCATCTGATGCCTCCTGGGTTTACCTCAGACTGTCTAAGACAGGGATGCACATTTTAGATTTTTTTTTTAGTTCTTTGCAGGACTTGACTTTAACTGAGGAGGTAATTCAGTATTTGATTCAGGCGTGTTGGACCAGGGAGAAATCTACACTATGAAGATCTAGGAGCTCAGTGATGCCTGGTAACCTGATGTTACCAGGCGGGCTTAGAGAGAATCAGGACCATGCAGACTGTGAGTAATTTTGTAGATGCTACAATCAAGTTACAGCAAAAACTGGACCAGGCTGCAGCGTCAGTTTTTTTTTTTTTTTTTTCTCTTTCTGTGTCTTGATCAGTTTAATTTCCTTCAAATGTTTCTGACTTATTAACTGTTCCACGTCAGTAAGGAAATAATTTTTTTCCTAATTTATTTCTGAGTCATTTTTCTTTAATTTTTTAAGACTTGTATATAAATGCACAGACAGTAAATATTCAGGTGGAATAAACAACTTTGTTGTACAGCCATGTTAAATGTTACAATGAAACATGAGTATATAAAGCTGAGACAATCAGAACAGTAACTGACCTACATTAAAATCTGACCTTAAATATGTTTTGCAAACACGTCACTTGTTATTGGCTAAAAAAAAATTTCCGGAAATGCATTTCACAATTCAAGTCGCTGACATATAAAAAAGGAATGTGCAAATTCAGAGTACTTTTAAACGCCGCTGTGTAACGGATCAGCTGTGTTTCTGCTCTTCCTCCAGGAGCAGATCGATGTGCACAATCACTCCAGAGGTTCCGTGTCCTCGGTGAACAGATCGGCCAGGTCGGCCACTGTCAGAACGGCAGCCTCAGAGTGCTTCATGGCTGTGCTGGTGTGACTACAAATAAAACAGAAATAACTTCTATTAGTACTTTAACTAGTAACATGTCTTAAAGCCATCAATGCTCTTTTGAACTTAAAACACCTCTTTTCCGCTGTCTTCAGCATTGCTTGCATTCTTTCCTCGATAGTGGATTTAATTAGGAATCTGTGCACAAACGTTGGCCTGTTGGACAGAGAAAAAAAAAAAGTTCAACCTGTTGTGTTTGGTAATTTTGCAACAATTTTAAAGTAAAAACTTGTTTTTTTTCTTGGGGTTTAATTCATATTTGACATCTCCAACTGTGTAAAACTTCTGATCTCTAGACATAAGTCAAGAAACTGTGACCCTTTTTGTAAGCAAAAGCTCCATTCAGCACAACGGATCCAATACCAAACTGGATTATTGGAATTTTGACTATAGATTAGATTAGATTAGATATAATGGTCTCACAGCGGAGAAATTCATTGATTACATATTGGCGTAGTAATTAAAGAAGGTGCAAACAAGGAGGAAAAGGTGCATTAGGAATAAGCAATATATATACAGTATATCAAGATAAATAAGGATTAAGGTGCAAGTGTACATGTATCGCACACAATGCAAAACAAAATAAAAATAAGAAATAAAAAAATAAAAAATACAAGGGAGTAACACAGATTTGAGGTGACATATGTACAATCAGGATGGCTTATATACACGTGGATTGCCTTTTACATTAAAGTGTAGTAGGTAAGGAGCAACGGTGAGGTAGTGGTATGACTATTCTATTCACATATATTGCACAGTCAGCATATTGCACAGAATATTGCACAGTCAATAAATAACAAACTATAATATAGCTGCACAGTGGCTTTATAGGAGTTATTGTTGTTATAGTGCATTATTATAGAGTCTGGTGGCAGCAGGAATGAATGACCTGCGGTAGCGCTCCTTCTTACAGACAGGGTGTCTAAGTCTCTGACTAAAGGAGCTGCTCAGCTCCGCTACAGTCTGGTGCAGGGGGTGAGAGGTGTTGTCCATGATGGATGTAGCTTTCAATATATTTTCATTTAAGCACTTTCTTTTATATAATCTCAATTTTTCAGCTTCAAGAATTTTGTATTTGTATTTTCTGTGCATATCCAATAATTTCTACTCTCCTCTCAGTCCTTAAGTACATAAATAAACACCATCCCAACGCTTCCAATACTGCATTGCAAAGCTTATCTTACTGCTAACAAAATCTGTCAAACTTTGATCAGTCACTGAGTTGTGGAGTTCCAGCTGAGCAAAGACAAGAGTGACGTATGCACCTTACGCACAAGACCTTTCCAAAGTATTCTAGATACTAGAATTTAACTTATGTTTGAATCCTGAAAAAAAAAAATGATTTATGAATAAGCCCACGTTATGTAGAACAGTAGATCATATAAAATTATGAACATAAACAGTAAGAAACATGAAAAATGCATTTTTATTCTAATATTTTCACTTTTTCATTGAAAAATGTTGAGCTTTGGTGAATTAGTACGACACATAGATTTCATCTTATGGGAAGGAACGATAGAAATAATAGAATAACAAAATAATAGAATGTGTTTTAGAACACCAGAAGATGAAAACAATGTAAGAAGAGAAAATTATGACTTGTAACTTGATTATCGGCTATCATTGTTTGTGGAGTGTAGTTGGATTACAATTGAGTTGATGGTTGTTTTCTGATTCTGAAGGGGTACAGCATATTGGGTCTTGTTTAGCAGCCTACTGTTCGATGCGGGACTAAATGTGACATCAAAACCTTCGGTGGGCGTGCGGCGGGATCTAAGGAGTTCCAATCTAATGGTTTAGACTTGCCTATATCAGCAGGTTGGATCACACTGGATGTGAAAAGACAAGCAGCAGCTTACTCTCTCCCCCGTCTGTGCTCCCTATTACCCAGAGATGGGAAGTAACGAAGTACAAATACTTCGTTACTGTAATCAAGTAGATTTTTCTGATATTTTTGCTTTACTTTACTACTTATTTTTATGACGACTTTTTACTTGTACTCCTTACATTTTTACACAAATAACTGTACTTTCTACTCCTTACATTTAAAAAAATTGGCTCATTACTTTATTCCGTAAAAATTCAAAAAATATCCACTGGACTTGGTTTTCAAGATTTGAAGACGTTTCGCCACCTCTCCAGGAAGCTTTCTCAATTCAAATGTCTGGATCCGCAGTGAGTTTGAGTCTTATATAGACAACGCCTTGTATCGCTCAAACTCACTGCGGATCCAGACATTTGAATTGAGAAAGCTTCCTGGAGAGGTGGCGAAACGTCTTCAAATCTTGAAAACCAAGTCCAGTGGATATTTTTTGAATTTTTACGGAATGACTATGACCTGGATGACTGAGAACCTTCATCAGCTCATTACTTTAGTTTTTAATAATTTCAATGGAGTTACCGTTATTATTTTTCACGTCATCAATACCAAATTCAATCTAATTGGATGGGAATCTACGTTGCATTTGACGCACCACTACAAGATGAATCGACAGATTCGGCGGTATTCATTCGCGGCAAATCATTGCAGCTTGGTGGCGGTGGCGTTAGCATAGTAGCATGGACGACCAGATGATTGAAAATGAACACAACGGAGATCTAGTCCTATTGGCAGACATCCATTTAAAATGTAGGCAACGGCATGAAAAAAGTGGTTTATACTTTGACTTTTATACTTTAAGTAAATTTACAAGCCTGTACTTTGTTACTTTTACTTGAGTAAAGAAGTTTAATCAGTACTTCCACTTTTACCAGAGTATTTTTTAACACAAGTATCTGTACTTTTACTCAATTATGGAAAGTGAGTACTTTTGCCATCTCTGCTATTACCCCATTTATGCTACCCTTCCCTGCCGAGACCGGTCCGATCTCGGATCAGTTAACCAGGCCGAGCTCGGTTCTGCCGTTTACACATTACGCTATCTCGGTTCCTCGACTCCTCGCCTCCTAGTGACGATCTGCGGTATTACTGCCTGTATTGAAGGAGGAAATCAAGCAGTTGGTGGCGGTAATGCACCAAAAGTTGTTTGCCAACCGCCATAAAACACAAGAAGAAGAAGACGAAGAAGGAGGGAATCAAGCAAATCAAAATGGCCCAAATTGCAATAACGGCCTCAGTCTCGGCGTCATCCCAGGTCGCACCACGCTCTTTTGAAGCCATTATTTAAAATGTTGCGTGGAGAAGATTTCGATTGTTGTTTATTAGGGGTGGAACGGTTCACAAAATCCACGGTTCGGTTCGATTCACGGTTTCGTGGTCACGGTTTTCGGTTCGATTCGGTATATGTTGATTGTTACACCGAAATCCCATAAAAATTTATGAAATTAATGAAAAAATCCCCTCAAAAATAATGGATTGTAATTATTTTAAATGATCCGCGGAAACCCTGGATCATTTCCGTATGTTTTGCTGCTTTGAATTTAATCATCTGGCGCATGCCCTCTACGATCTTCAAGGGACTCAGAGGGGAGCGGACGGGAGCCACAGTGGGGGCTGTAGGCAGCGGGGGTTGCTGACGGAGTATGAGGGATTTCGGGGTTAGCATGACATGTTGCCGTTAGCATAAACAAAACGTGTTGCACTTTTATCCACAACTTTCTTTCCGCCGTCATCGTAGGTCACTCTAAATGCAACAGATTACAGCACCTATAAAGTGCTGCTGGCGCGTCTTCCAACTCCTGTTCTGTCCCACTCGCCATACCCACACAATTGATTTTTTTCCCTGCTACACCCGGCTACGCTGCTTCGCTTCTTCTTCTTGTTTACTACTGGTGGTTGGCTTTGGTCGCAGTACCGCCACCTTCTGCTCGGGAGTGTAAACGCTTCGCCTATGAGAAAAAAGGAGCAGTGCACGAACCGAACGCAACACCCGAGAACCGAACCGAGACAGTCGAACCGAACGGTTTTCATAAATCGTCCCATCCCTATTGTTGATAGTTGTTCTTCTTCTTCTGTTTTGTGTTGGTTGGCAAGCAACTTCCGGAGGGGCATTACTGCCAACTACTGGAATGGAGTGTGAATCGGGATGTGCAGCCAGACGGAGATGACACATTCTGCTCATGCCCTCGTCATCAGAGAACCGAGCCAGGGAAAAACCGAGCTAAGCCCACCTCTGGAAATGGTCCGCAGTTAGCGCGTTTCGGTTGTGTCTAGCTCGGTCCGGTTCAGTTTGCTTTCCATTTACACACGATAAGTTATCTCAGTTACTGAGCTCAGACCGGTCTCGGCACGGTTTTTTCAAGGGTAGCGTGAATGGGGTACATGATTGCTCGCCAACAGAAGAACAGGCATTCTTTGCGTTTTTCAAAATAAAATGACATCATCAAATTTACTACATTTACTACTCTTAACAGGCGATCTATGGCCTGATAGTTAGCAATGGCTGCTTTATCAAATAAAATCCCAGTAAAATACACAGACCTTTGTGGTTTTAAGGAGAGAAAGAAAGTAAAAAACACATTTAAAGGTGGCTTACTTTGTTTGACCAATCCGGTGTACCCTGCCTATAGCCTGGAGCTCATGAGCTGGGTTCAGAATCGGTTCAACCAGCAGGACGTGTGTTGCTTCAATGATATTCAGGCCGTTGGAGCCGGTGTGGAGAGGGAGGAGAAGAATGTTGATCTTTTCATCATACTTGAAAGAACTAAGATTTTCCTAAAAACACAAAATAAAATTAAAGACACATAAAGATCTTTACTGCAATCCTGAAAGATGACAGAAGCTTTTAAAGTCAAACCTGGAATTTATGAATTCCATTGATTTGTGAAAACTCCATGTTATTGTCCAACAAGGCCTTAGCAATGATGTCCAGGACACTCTGCCACTGTTCATAAAAAATAAGGAAACAATCCAGATCACATCCAAACTGAACATCACTACTAATCACAATGAAATGGTTCACTTACTGTTGAAAAGACGAGACACTTTGCACCAGGATCGTTCATCTGAATCTTCTTCAATGTTCTTACAACCGCCTCCACTTTGGTAGAGTGGCTTCCCTGCAAAAAGTAAAAAAAACCTGTTGAGACAAAAACTTCAACCTGGTTTGACTAAAACGGCTCTGATGACAAACCTTGACTGGTATGTCTTGATCGTGGCTCGACGACTGGGTGGTGAAAACGTAGGAGATTTCTGCGTGGGACGTAGTCTGCCTGCAAATGGCACACTTGATGGCGCGCCGCCTTGAGCCCACGCTATACTGCTCCACAATGATGGCGATGCATTCATTACAAAAGCAGTGACCACAGGTCAACACTGCCCACTAGAGGAAAAGGCATTATTAGAAAAAAAATCCCCATTATTGCACCATTTTTTAAACAAAAATTAGAGTTAAGTTACATAGGAAAGGAAAAAGGCATACACATAAATAGTTTTTTATTCATTAAAGGTTCAGTGTTCCTTCACCATAAAAACTTAGAGTAGTTGAGATCTACCATCAGTTCTCACCTCCTGTCCCAGCGGCCGAGCACAGATGGGGCATGGCTCAGGGTTCAGCCCTCCAGTTGACTTGTCCTGCGACTTCAAGCCAAATTAATGCAACATGGGGTTAGACTGAAGGAAACGATTCAAACTTGTTCCAGATTTGTTCCAAACATCAGGATTCTACCTTTTCCAGATTGGTTAAATAGAGAAACTGTCCTAGCTTCTTCTGCAGTTGCGACTTGGCCACAGCCTGGTCGTTTAGAAGTTTCACTCTGTTCTGCTCCACCTGAGAGCAGAGGTGAAAAAAGCTATAAAAGCAGAAGATCTTTGAAAACATTTTGTAAACAAAGTCAGTAATCACAACGGTTGAAACTATTACGCTGGGCTCACACTGGCTACGGTGCTGCCGCAGTTCTGGTCCAGTGTGGGGTTACAGCAAAAAGCTACTCACACTGAGGCTGCAGCCAGCATGGGCCGGCTGCAGCCCAGAAACGCTGCATGGGAGAACAGAAATTCACATTGGTTTATACTCTTCATGAAACTCTAGGGCAAAACTTGTTAGCTGTGCGCATACATATCCTTTTTCCTCATGTTTTTGTTTCGTCATTTTGTTTAGAGCGGTCTAACTACTAGCAGCAGCACCGATGATCAAGTTTTTATGCTTGCATAAAAAAAAAATGTCTATTGCTTTCCTACCAATGTATACATAAAAAATCTTTATGTGAAATGGATGCAAAAATAGGAAGATCATTTAAAAAGTGCAATCATTGCCAGCTCATGGCTCTCTGAGGCTCAGCATAAAACTGAACGCAGTGGAACACAACTGGCATCTACTGGGAGTTCTTCTCACAAAAAAATTATTAAAATACTTTTTCATGCCAACTTCAAAAACAACTTTTTTGTGAGGGGATGTCTCGGAATGGAAACACAAACTTCTACCCTAAGACCTAAACATTAAACAAATGTTATCATTGCAGGACAGCCTCAAGCATCCAGCACTGTCTTTCTCCAGGGTTTATACAGGAAGGAGGAACTCTAATTTAATGCTTTTTAATGCTCTTAGAAATAATTTTAATGTCATCAATAAGTACCCATTAGTCATATATATATATATATATATATATATATATATATATATATATATATATATACACTATATTGCCAAAAGTATTTGCTCACCTGCCTTGACTCACATATGAGCTTAAGTGACATCCCGTTCCTAATCCATAGGGTTCAATATGACGTCGGTCCACCCTTTGCAGCTAGAACAGCTTCAACTCTTCTGGGAAGGCTGTCCACAAGGTTTAGGAGTGTGTTTATGGGAATTTTTGACCATTCTTCCAGAAGCGCATTTGTGAGGTCGCACACTGATGTTGGACGAGAAGGCCTGGCTCTCAGTCTCCGCTCTAATTCATCCCAAAGGTGTTCTATCGGGTTGAGGTCAGGACTCTGTGCAGGCCAGTCAAGTTCATCCACACCAGACTCTGTCATCCATGTCTTTATGGACCTTGCTTTGTGCACTGGTGCACAGTCATGTTGGAAGAGGAAGGGGCCAGCTCCAAACTGTTCCCACAAAGTTGGGAGCATGGAATTGTCCAAAATGTCTTGGTATGCTGAAGCATTCAGAGTTCCTTTCACTGGAACTAAGGGGCCAAGCCCAGCTCCTGAAAAACAACCTCACACCATAATCCCCCCTCCACCAAACTTTACACTTGGCACAATGCAGTCAGACAAGTACCGTTCTCCTGGCAACCGCCAAACCCAGACCCGTCCATCAGATTGCCAGATGGAGAAGCGCGATTCGTCACTCCAGAGAACGCGTCTCCACTGCTCTAGAGTCCAGTGGCGGCGTGCTTTACACCACCGCATCCGACGCTTTGCATTGCACTTGGTGATGTATGGCTTGGATGCAGCTGCTCGACCATGGAAACCCATTCCATGAAGCTCTCTGCGCACTGTTCTTGAGCTAATCTGAAGGCCACATGAAGTTTGGAGGTCTGTAGTGATTGACTCTGCAGAAAGTTGGCGACCTCTTCGCACTATGCGCGTCAGCATCCGCTGACCCCGCTCCGTCAGTTTACGTGGCCTACCTCTTCGTGGCTGAGTTGCTGTCGTTCCCAAACACTTCCATTTTCTTATAATACAGCTGACAGTTGACTGTGGAATATTTAGGAGCGAGGAAATTTCACGACTGGATTTGTTGCACAGGTGGCATCCTATCACAGTTCCACGCTGGAATTCACTGAGCTCCTGAGAGCGACCCATTCTTTCACAAATGTTTGTAAAAACAGTCTGCATGCCTAGGTGCTTGAATTTATACACCTGTGGCCATGGAAGTGATTGGAACACCTGATTCCAATAATTTGGATGGGTGAGCAAATACTTTTGGCAATATAGTGTATATATATTAGGGATGGGACGATTTATGAAAACCGCCAGAACCGTTCGGTTCGACTGTCTCGGTTCGGTTCGCATGTGTTTCGTTCGGTTCATGCGCTGCTCCTTTTTCTCATAGGCGAAGCGTTTACACAACAGAGCAGAAGGTGGCGGTACTGCGACCAAAGCCAACCACCAGTAGTACACAAGAAGAAGAGGAAGCGAAGCAGCGTAGCCGGGTGTAGCAGAAAAAAATCAGTTGTTGTGGAGAATTGTGTGGGTATGGCGAGTGGGAAAGAACTGGAGTTGGAAGACGCGCCAGCAGCACTTTATAGGTCTGCTGTATGGGACCACTTTGCATTTAGAGTGACCTACGATGACGGCGGAAAGAAAGCTGTGGATAAAAGTGCAACAGTGTGCAAGCATTGTGCAACACGTTTTGTTTATGCTAACAGCAACATGTCATGCTAACCCCGAAATCCCTCATACTCCGTCAGCAACCCCCGCTCCGCCCCGCTGCGCTCCAGACCGGCTGCTCAAAGCAAAGCCTACAGCCTCCACTGTGGCTTCGTCTGCTCCCCTCTGAGTTCCTTGGAGATGGTAGAGAGCATGCGCGAGATGATTAAATTCAAAGCAGCAAAGCATACGGAAATGATCCAGGGTTTCTGCGGATCATTTAAAATAATTACAATCCATTATTTTTTGGGGGATTTTTTCATTAATTTCATAAATTTTTATGGGATTTCGGTGTAACAATCAACATGTATCGAATCGAGCCGAAAACCGTGACCAGAAACCGTGAATCGAACCGAACCGTGGATTTTGTGAACCGTTCCACCCCTAATATATATATATACACTATATTGCCAAAAGTATTTGCTCACCTGCCTTGACTCACATATGAGCTTAAGTGACATCCCGTTCCTAATCCATAGGGTTCAATATGACGTCGGTCCACCCTTTGCAGCTAGAACAGCTTCAACTCTTCTGGGAAGGCTGTCCACAAGGTTTAGGAGTGTGTTTATGGGAATTTTTGACCATTCTTCCAGAAGCGCATTTGTGAGGTCGCACACTGATGTTGGACGAGAAGGCCTGGCTCTCAGTCTCCGCTCTAATTCATCCCAAAGGTGTTCTATCGGGTTGAGGTCAGGACTCTGTGCAGGCCAGTCAAGTTCATCCACACCAGACTCTGTCATCCATGTCTTTATGGACCTTGCTTTGTGCACTGGTGCACAGTCATGTTGGAAGAGGAAGGGGCCAGCTCCAAACTGTTCCCACAAAGTTGGGAGCATGGAATTGTCCAAAATGTCTTGGTATGCTGAAGCATTCAGAGTTCCTTTCACTGGAACTAAGGGGCCAAGCCCAGCTCCTGAAAAACAACCTCACACCATAATCCCCCCTCCACCAAACTTTACACTTGGCACAATGCAGTCAGACAAGTACCGTTCTCCTGGCAACCGCCAAACCCAGACCCGTCCATCAGATTGCCAGATGGAGAAGCGCGATTCGTCACTCCAGAGAACGCGTCTCCACTGCTCTAGAGTCCAGTGGCGGCGTGCTTTACACCACCGCATCCGACGCTTTGCATTGCACTTGGTGATGTATGGCTTGGATGCAGCTGCTCGACCATGGAAACCCATTCCATGAAGCTCTCTGCGCACTGTTCTTGAGCTAATCTGAAGGCCACATGAAGTTTGGAGGTCTGTAGTGATTGACTCTGCAGAAAGTTGGCGACCTCTTCGCACTATGCGCGTCAGCATCCGCTGACCCCGCTCCGTCAGTTTACGTGGCCTACCTCTTCGTGGCTGAGTTGCTGTCGTTCCCAAACACTTCCATTTTCTTATAATACAGCTGACAGTTGACTGTGGAATATTTAGGAGCGAGGAAATTTCACGACTGGATTTGTTGCACAGGTGGCATCCTATCACAGTTCCACGCTGGAATTCACTGAGCTCCTGAGAGCGACCCATTCTTTCACAAATGTTTGTAAAAACAGTCTGCATGCCTAGGTGCTTGAATTTATACACCTGTGGCCATGGAAGTGATTGGAACACCTGATTCCAATAATTTGGATGGGTGAGCAAATACTTTTGGCAATATAGTGTATATATATTAGGGATGGGACGATTTATGAAAACCGCCAGAACCGTTCGGTTCGACTGTCTCGGTTCGGTTCGCATGTGTTTCGTTCGGTTCATGCGCTGCTCCTTTTTCTCATAGGCGAAGCGTTTACACAACAGAGCAGAAGGTGGCGGTACTGCGACCAAAGCCAACCACCAGTAGTACACAAGAAGAAGAGGAAGCGAAGCAGCGTAGCCGGGTGTAGCAGAAAAAAATCAGTTGTTGTGGAGAATTGTGTGGGTATGGCGAGTGGGAAAGAACTGGAGTTGGAAGACGCGCCAGCAGCACTTTATAGGTCTGCTGTATGGGACCACTTTGCATTTAGAGTGACCTACGATGACGGCGGAAAGAAAGCTGTGGATAAAAGTGCAACAGTGTGCAAGCATTGTGCAACACGTTTTGTTTATGCTAACAGCAACATGTCATGCTAACCCCGAAATCCCTCATACTCCGTCAGCAACCCCCGCTCCGCCCCGCTGCGCTCCAGACCGGCTGCTCAAAGCAAAGCCTACAGCCTCCACTGTGGCTTCGTCTGCTCCCCTCTGAGTTCCTTGGAGATGGTAGAGAGCATGCGCGAGATGATTAAATTCAAAGCAGCAAAGCATACGGAAATGATCCAGGGTTTCTGCGGATCATTTAAAATAATTACAATCCATTATTTTTTGGGGGATTTTTTCATTAATTTCATAAATTTTTATGGGATTTCGGTGTAACAATCAACATGTATCGAATCGAGCCGAAAACCGTGACCAGAAACCGTGAATCGAACCGAACCGTGGATTTTGTGAACCGTTCCACCCCTAATATATATATATACACTATATTGCCAAAAGTATTTGCTCACCTGCCTTGACTCACATATGAGCTTAAGTGACATCCCGTTCCTAATCCATAGGGTTCAATATGACGTCGGTCCACCCTTTGCAGCTAGAACAGCTTCAACTCTTCTGGGAAGGCTGTCCACAAGGTTTAGGAGTGTGTTTATGGGAATTTTTGACCATTCTTCCAGAAGCGCATTTGTGAGGTCGCACACTGATGTTGGACGAGAAGGCCTGGCTCTCAGTCTCCGCTCTAATTCATCCCAAAGGTGTTCTATCGGGTTGAGGTCAGGACTCTGTGCAGGCCAGTCAAGTTCATCCACACCAGACTCTGTCATCCATGTCTTTATGGACCTTGCTTTGTGCACTGGTGCACAGTCATGTTGGAAGAGGAAGGGGCCAGCTCCAAACTGTTCCCACAAAGTTGGGAGCATGGAATTGTCCAAAATGTCTTGGTATGCTGAAGCATTCAGAGTTCCTTTCACTGGAACTAAGGGGCCAAGCCCAGCTCCTGAAAAACAACCCCACACCATAATCCCCCCTCCACCAAACTTTACACTTGGCACAATGCAGTCAGACAAGTACCGTTCTCCTGGCAACCGCCAAACCCAGACCCGTCCATCAGATTGCCAGATGGAGAAGCGCGATTCGTCACTCCAGAGAACGCGTCTCCACTGCTCTAGAGTCCAGTGGCGGCGTGCTTTACACCACCGCATCCGACGCTTTGCATTGCACTTGGTGATGTATGGCTTGGATGCAGCTGCTCGACCATGGAAACCCATTCCATGAAGCTCTCTGCGCACTGTTCTTGAGCTAATCTGAAGGCCACATGAAGTTTGGAGGTCTGTAGTGATTGACTCTGCAGAAAGTTGGCGACCTCTTCGCACTATGCGCTTCAGCATCCGCTGACCCCGCTCCGTCAGTTTACGTGGCCTACCACTTCGTGGCTGAGTTGCTGTCGTTCCCAAACACTTCCATTTTCTTATAATACAGCTGACAGTTGACTGTGGAATATTTAGGAGCGAGGAAATTTCACGACTGGATTTGTTGCACAGGTGGCATCCTATCACAGTTCCACGCTGGAATTCACTGAGCTCCTGAGAGCGACCCATTCTTTCACAAATGTTTGTAAAAACAGTCTGCATGCCTAGGTGCTTGAATTTATACACCTGTGGCCATGGAAGTGATTGGAACACCTGATTCCAATAATTTGGATGGGTGAGCAAATACTTTTGGCAATATAGTGTATGTACACGGCCAAATCTTTACCATCGACAGGCTGCAGCCATGTCCCGATTTTCTCGTTTTCCAGCCACTTCTGTTAAAATTTACATTTTCCCATTTTCTATCTTTTTCTGTGCCTCGAGCTTCTGTTCCGAACAGATGGCTTTAGGATCAATCAGGAGCAGTTCATCGCAAACATGTGGAACCAGTTAAATCTGATATATTTGACAATATTTTTTTTTTTAATAAAGCATTTTGAATGCCATGATAATCACATTCAATGAATTTTAATGCCAATTAAGGCCTTAATTTTAAAAACAATAATTTAATGACTTTTAAGGATTTTTAATGACCCGCAGGAACCCTGTTCTCTTACTTCGTGCGGTTCTATAATGTGCAGAAGTTTGGGTTTCGGTTCATCAGGCAGACGAACACGCAGCCGTTCAGTAGCCATCCCCAACTCGTCAATGGCCGACACGTGATTACGCAGCACCATCCAGTACTCATGCAAAACCTGAAAAAAGACCAAAGTAATGTTCCATTGAACTTATATTAGTCACACTGTGTAACACTTTGATTTTTGGTTGTTTAATATTGTTCTTACTAGACCTACAAGACGTCTGCTTACTTTATACTCCTTCTTCCAGTTCTCAAACAGCTCCATAAAAGTGTTCCCTTCCTCCACCAGCTCCGGGTCCATCCGTTTCACTTTGGCGAACGACAAGATGGCTTTGAGGGTGCGCTCAGTCTCACTGGCCGCCCATAGGCCGCGACTGGTGGTGGGAAGACGGTCGTCCACTAGGCCTTCTTCATCCTCGATCATTTCCTCAAAGATGGCTGTCTGACCTTTCACCCTAAGAACACATTTTTTTTAACTTTCTCTTAAACTTTTTGGTTCTAATCAGACTTGGAACAATCTAAATCACCTGCTTACTTACGTTTGAGCAAACAGCTTGGATTCATAATCAGTGAAAAGTTCATCTGCTTTGCAGAACACACAGCTGTGACATAAAAAAGCAGACAAAATCAAACTTCATGACATTGAAAAGGCTCTGTGTTTTGCAGAGAAGTATGAATACAGTGGGTAAATCTTTCAATATAAATGATGTTGTCGTTTAATGCTGGTAACTTACTTGTTGAGTGGCAGTCTCACTGGCCTAAGGTGGCAAACGGTGGCCTCTTCAATCACTTCCTTAGAAGCTGGGCCCTCGAGGCTCTTCACTGCGTCTTGCACAGTTTTTTGGGACTTCATCAGATCTTGCATTTGTGTGGTGAGCAGGAACTGCAGACCACAGGCATCACGGAACCTGCAGGGAACACGACAGGTCTTCAGTGTGGTGTCCTTACAACGAGTGCTAACTTTACACCCCAGAAGCTGTACTTGTCTGCCATGGAGAGCTTGTGGGACTGCTGCTTGTAGCTCGACGTTAGCTCATTCTTGACACGGGACACCAGATCTTCATCGGTGGAGCAGCGGATTGCCCTCTGGACGACCTCCAACCACCAGGGGGAGTTTAAGTTCACCTGGAAAGAAAAAGGTAGATCTGTCAGCGATCACAACCCTGTGTAAACAGGTTTTTAATGTTAAGTTTAGATAGTAGATGAAACACAAACAGGAAAAATAAATATTCTTGAAATTCAATTTCAGACATAATCACTAAATTATACAAGTAATCTAATAATATACATTGATTATTACACATAATACAATTAAATTTCTCTATAGAATTAAAATTATTAATTCATTCATTCCCATTACTACAAAAGTTCATTTAGATTTTGGTTAAAAATCAAATAAAAAATTTCTCAAAGTTGAAGAAAAGGGTGGAAGCAGCTTTCTGTCAATCAAACTGAGTCTTAGGGAAATCTATGAATCACAAAACTTACAGCTGAAATATCATCCGACCAATATAAACTTTAAATGTTTGTTAGAGCTTAACATATTTTATTTGAATCGTAACTTTTTTCCTTAAAAATATATTTTTAATTGTATAATTTAAAATAACACAACAACAATAGGGAAAAAGGAAACTTTCTGAAGAGTTAATCTATTCCTGAAGCATAAAAATCCTGACTTTGACTAAAACAAAACAAATAAAAAAAAACCCACAGCATGTATTTTGGTTATTTCTCACCTTCCGCTTCAACTCTTTGATGTTCTGCAGCACCGGCTGCAGCGCCTGATGGGCGTCGGCCACCTCCGAATCGTACTTGGTCATATAATGCTGCCGCAGCTGCTCAGCCTGCAAATAGATTTAAAGAAAGAAACTCACATTTGTTATACAACGTCTATAAATAAACATGTCTAAATAAATAACAATGTCTATAAATAAAATAAACAATGTTAAACCTTCAGTCTGTTTACCTCTTCCCCGAGCCTGTCATCTCTGAGGGTTGGTGGAATCCCAGGATGCTTTGCATGTAGTAACTCCATCAAGTTGTGGGTGGCATGAAGCCTCTGTTTGGAATCAATTGTGACAATTAGAAAAGAGAAAGGTACAATGCTAATATAGAGCCTTGCAACACTATTTATAAGAGAGAGGGGGGCTATATGCTGTTTAATGGCAGAAAGAAGCACAGTCTTGTAAAGTGGAAGGACAACTAAACATGTTTTTTGTTTTATAAACAGGTAAGAATCCAAATCAGGTTGTGCACATTTGTCCAAATTATTTGCAACTGGGAACAAAAGTCTCAACTTTAAAGTATTTCGGGTCACAAAGTTGTGATTCTTTTTCCCTTTTTAAAATAGAACATACTTGTCTTTTTAACCTGTTTAGAAATAAACTAAACACACAAAATTTTTAAAGAAGAAAGAAAAACTACAAATCACTCAAGATTTGATTGGCTGACAATTTGACCGATTAAAAAGAAAGCCCAAACAATATCCTAGATTTTATAAGTCATTTAAGGGGTGGGTATTTACATCATTATGATGAATTTCTTATCATAGGAATTCTGGTTTTTCGTCAAAAAATGGCGGCATTGTCCAAATAGTTATCTACTTTCTTTTCCACAATTTGTTTTAGTAGAGTTATAATACATAAACAAGTGACCAAATCCAGTTACTACCGTATTTTCACGACTATAAGGCGCATATAAACGTTTTTTTTTTCCCCTTAAAAATGTGCGGTGCGCCCTATTTGTGTTGTTACTGCGGACGTTGTTGAGACCGCCATGAGAACGTTAAAGGGGGAAGTGTGGGCGTGGATTGTGTATAAAAGAACAGGTATGTGCTTTATGTAGAACATTGTTGTCATAACAACCCTGAAAATGGCAAAGAGACACGCCTATGCGTGCAATTTTTCCATCCGGACCAGGACTACAGTAGCTCAGCAATGTCCGGCGGATTATAATGAAAAGCTGGCGAGCTTCCACTCCTACTACAGCAAACACATCGCCGACAAACGCATCCAGCCAAGCCACATCACCAACATGGACGAGGTGCCGCTCACTTTCGACATCTCGGTGAATCACACGGTGGAGAAGAGGGGGACCAGCACGGTAGCGACACACACAACGGGGTATGAAAAGGCGTTGTTTACAGTTGTGCTTGGCTGCCACGCAGAAACTGCCGCCTATGGTGATTTTTAAGAGAAAGACTTTGCCTAAAGAGACTTTTCCAGCTGGAGTCGTTATTAAGGCAAATGAAAAGGGCTGGATGGATGAGGAGATGATGAAAGCGTTGCTGAGGGAGGTGTATGGGAGGAGACCAGGTGGTTTTTTCCACGCATTACCATCGCTTAATCTGTGACTCCATGCGTGCCCATCTCACAGCCGATGTGAAAAACATGGTGGAACAAATACACGCTGTGCTCGCCGTTATCCCGGGAGGTCTGAAAAAGGAACTTCAACCGCTCGACATCGGTGTGAACCGGCCGTTCAAAGTAAAGCTGCGAGCGGCGTGGGAGCGATGGATGAACGACGGAGACCACAGTTTCACGAAAAGTGGAAGGCAGCGCCGGGCAAGTTACGCCACCGTTTGCGGATGGATTGTTGATGTTTGGATTAACGTGTCTGCTGGCTCTGTTGTTCAAGCTTTCGCAAAAGCCAGCATCATTTCCGAGGAGCCGCGCTGCACGGAAAGTGAGTCTGACAGCGAAGGATGGGAAATTGGCATGTCTGCTTTAGCGCAGCTGTTTAATTCAGAAACAGAGGATGATGACTTTGATGGGTTCGATTAATACTTTGTAATAAATACATGAATAAAGCACAATCATACTCAGTTTTGCTCCCGCTCTATTTTTAAATACGCAGTAGAGGTATTTAAACGTAGTAGAGGATATTTACCGGTATACAAACCTTATGTGTGTGTTAAATACAGAAATGGCACACATAACTGAGACTGCAGCCTTTTAGTACGGTGCGCCTTATGGTCGTGAAAATACGGTATGTGCAATTTAGCGACAGAAAGTCAGACCCTTAGGTAACCTCAGAAGCCCATTTAAAACGCTTCGTCCAGATGCTTGCAGGAACAGTGGTTGTGACTGTGGGGCTGTGCCATGCAGACACAGCCCCACAAGTAACACAAAGAAGCTATCAAATAATTGTTTGTTTTTTTATTTTATATCTCAATAGTATCGAAAAAACAGTAATAGGAGTCTAGGTCCCTATATCCCACTTCCAGGTTCAATCCCTTTTTCCTTTTTTTTATTTGCATCTTTTGAACAACAAGAGGAGGACGTGATGAAATGTAACACGTGGTCCTTCCTGAGCATGCATTATATTTGAAGTCCCTGAATGTTAGTGATCCTATTTTCCATTAAATTAAAGAAGAAGAATGCTTTGTGCCGGCTTAAGAGTTTTTATTCTAAATTTAAATTTGAAGCTGTTTTGAACAGTGATGGAAGTAACGGCGTTGAAAGTAACGGTGTTACCTTCTTTTAGTAACGAGTAATCAAAATTATTACTCTTACTGTAACTATAACGCAGTTACCATTGCTGACACCCCATTACTGCGCGTTACTCAGGTCGCACAATTAACAATTTTTTTTTATGATAGGACTCGTGTGCGCGTCATGAGAGAGGGGAGGATGAGATTGGCTGTTACCGGTGTTTAACGTACAGCACACACAGAGAGATGGAGAGTGAGGAGGATCCAGCAGCAAAACAGCGTTTTCCAGATGGAAATACCGGTGTTACGTCGAGCTGCGTTTCCCCATCACATACGGTTTCCCCTGCATCTCCGCACAGTGCAGGCGGCACGATTTACCACGCAAGCGACAGGAAACGCGCATGCTCACTAAAGGCGCGCAACAGTCGCCCTGTGCTCGCGCCACAGGAGAACTATGGAGAGCGTGAACGATCAAATGATAGCCTATATGGAGAAAGGGAGAAATTTGGATGGATGGATGGATGGATGGATGGATGGATGGATGGATGGATGGATAGATAGATAGATAGATAGATAGATAGATAGATAGATAGATAGATAGATGTTGCAGTATCTATACCAACCCAAACACACAGGATTTCAGAATTAGACATCCCCAGTTATTAATTTCTGAACACCAGATCTGAACGCCCTGTTAAAAAACTTCACACCCATGAGTAGAGGTGATGGGGCCTGATGATATTTACACCGCATCAGATAGCGTTCCCCCCATGTTAAGCAGAGGGAACACTATCTGACGGGGTTTAGTGGACCATCAGATAGCGTTCCCCCCTGATGTAATTTACATTGAGTTGCAATAAATGCTAAACTCTCTGCAGGTTCTTGTCTTTGTCGTCCGCTCTATTCAGCTGGCTTTGGAAACACACGGCGAGAAGGTGGGGGCTGGGTGGTGAGGGTTACGGGGGCGAGAAACGCAAAAGTAACGCAATAGTTACTTTTACTAGTAACTAGTTACTTTTATTGTGGAGTACCGTATTTTCACAACTATAAGGCGCACTTAAACGTCTTTTTTTCCCCTCAAAATGTGCGGTGCGCCCTATGTGTGTTGTAACTGCGACTTTTGAGACCACCTCATTGAGGAGATGATGAAAGAGTGGCTGAATGTAAGGAGACCAGGTGGGTTTTTTTTCCACTCATCACCATCGCTGTTAATATGTAACTCCATGCGTGCCCATCTCACAGCTGATGTGAAAAACATGGGGAAACAAATTAACGCTGTGCTCGCTGTTCAACCGCTCGACATCGAAAAAGTCCACCTGAAAACGTAATAATTGCAGTCAGTTCATCCAGATTATCTATTTCTGTCGGAGGCGCTCAGACCCCCACATACCAGCGGTGCGCCGACAGGAGAAATCCTTTCATCAGCAGCCTCTAGGCTGGGCAGCCTCCGGGTTCACGCGGTGGATGGCAGGTGTTTTTCATCTAAATAATTTAAACTGCAGGCACCCATAAAAGCGAAAATATTCCGTCGGCAGGTTTCAGGATTTTAAGTTAATTTAGGAGTGATCACAGCGCTGTGTCATCTGCGATGTGTCTGTCTCACGGCCAGCTGCCAGGTTTGATTAATACTTTTTAATAAATACATGAATAAAGCACAGTCATACTCAGTTTTGCCCCCGCTGTATTTTTAAATACGCAGTAGAGGTATTAAAAGGTAGTAGAGGACTTGTACCTGTATATAAAAAACGCGCCCTATAGTCCGGTGCGCCTTATGTGTGTGTTAAATACAGAAATGGGACACATAACTGAGACTGCGCCTTTTAGTACGGTGCGCCTTATGGTCGTGAAAATACGGTAACTCAGTTAGTTGCTCAGTTACTTTTTAGGAGAAGTAACTAGTAACTATAATAATTACTTTTTCAAAGTAACGTGCCCAATACTGGTTTTGAAAGGCTTAAGATAAGAGAGAATTGCAACATAATGTTCTCTTAAAATAAGTTTCTGAATTAACTAACCAAGCTGGCGAACCAAATTAAAGCCATGTTTGTTTGTTTTAAATGGAGTCAACAAAAATCCCTCTAAGGGTCGCAGTATTGATTTGAGCGGCAGGACTGAGAATCAGCTGTTTACAGATCAGCTATTCAACCAATAAAACTAACTTTAAATTACTTTACCATGAACACAGAAGATTCCTTGGGCATTAATGATACTATTCAAATACAATTGCTTTGACTTTCAATGTTTTTACATCTCCGACTTAGAAACTACGTCATTTTGGCTTCAGTGTCATTTAATGCACTTAAACATTCTTTTGAAAACAAAAGTTTAAAAGATAAATGGGCCAAAATGTACCTGTAATGAATCGGTTTTCAGCCTGTCTTTGTGCTCCTCTGATGAACGCAGAACCTCTCTATACATCTCCACGGCCTCTACAAACTCGCCTGCAGGCGACAGAACAAGCAGCGTTAATCAGGTGAGACTATAGGGATAACCTGTGTGTAGAACGAGCTAAGAGGGACTTTAACACAACATATCAGCGCACAAAGCACCAGGAAACAAAGATGAGATCATGTTCTGTGTTTTGGACTTATTCCCATGGGAAACAGAGCAGCAGCCGAGAAGAAGGGCTTTAATACCTTTGATGATGTGAATTCCAGCCAAACCATTGAGTGCACACACCAACTGCCTGTGACCTTCTTCACACTCCACTCGACATTTTTTCTGCAAAGACTTGAGGAGCTCCTCCATTGTCATGGTGCTGAAAGAGAAGAAACATGCCTTAATCTACCAGTGGAAATTACATAGCTTAAGATAAACACAATTAATAGCATTAGAATTTAAAAAAGGGTTTATTACCCGCCTGGTTTACTTTACTTAGCCTAGAAAGGCTAGTAATTAGCAGGTGCCACCGAAGCAAAAGAAAACTTCTCTCATTTACCTCTTCTGCAGAGGCAGGAACTCCCCCCTGACGGCCTGCGGATGGCAGCAGGCCTGACGCAGCCTCAGCAGCGGGTACAGGATGGTGTTGACGGTGCGGCGGTCCAGGCTGCCCAGTTTCAGGCTCCAGTCAGAGATTTTCCTGAGTTTCACCAAAGCATCCTGGGAACAGACCTCATGCTGGCGGTGGTAAAAATGACCCTCGACTGGGGTGAAGTGAAGCCAGTGAACCTCCTCTGTCTGAGGGGGAATCTGAATCTAAAGAACGAAAAAAAAAACATAAAGTAAGGAGATTCTTTATCCTTTAAAGAATGATTTGTTTTCCGTGAAATTCTTCTCAAAGCCCACCTGGTCGATGACGTCTTTTTTAGCTGACCGCCATAATATCTGAGCGATAACATTGTACAGAGGTTCTGTGTTTCCACGGCGATAAGGGCGATAAAGCAGCTGGTCCCACCAGTGTTTAACCCAGTATGGATCCACGCCCAGGAAAAGCATGAGGCCGTACAGATCTACAAAACACAGATCGCTTCAGCATGGAGCCTCTAGCAGGTTAACAGTTGATCGATGGACTGTTTTTTTTTTCACCTTCTAAGCCTCTTTGGACAGGAGTGCCGCTGACGCACCATCGGTTGACGGAGGCAAGACGCAGAGCCATTTCTGCAGCCTGTTGGTGAGAAGATAAATATAAACAACAGAGGAAAGAAAACATAAGAAAGAAAAACAAAAACCTGACAATGGATTCCGTTTCACCTTCGCTGTGGGACACTCAACCATCTGGGCTTCGTCCAGACAGATGCGCCACCACTCCACGGCCACCAGGGGGCTGGGAACCGCCATGTAGCGCTTCTGGTTTCGGAAGCGCCGGCCGTCTTTGCTATTACTGTGAGGAATGTCGACGTAGTTGAGCTCAGAGCGAAGCACGTCGTAGGTGGTGATGACCACGTCTTGCTCAGCGAGCATACGAGGCTGGATAAAGCCGTGCTTCTTCACCCCCTGATACACCTGAGCGGGGAGACAGGCGGTGTGAGGAGGCTACACTGAATACATGATTGATAAAGGAAGAAAATAGTTCTGAACGTGAAAAAAAAACAAAGAAAGTTTAACATTATTCAACACTAAACATTTAATACTTAGATCCAGCTACGTTCTCTGGGATTAGGGCTGCAACTAACGATGATTAAGCAAATCCATCTTTTGATTATTCTTTTCCATGAATCGATTAATAATCAGATATCCAAAGTTTCCATCCATCCATTTTCCGTCACGCTTATCCAAAGCGGGGTCGCGAGTGGCCTGTCAACGGGCGAGAGGCGGGGTACGCCCTGGACAGGTCACCAGTCCATCACAGGACAAACAACCATTCACGCTCACCTAAGGAACATTTATAGGAAGCCAATTAACCCTTTAAAACCAATTGTATCATATTTGATCCATAGGTTTTTGAGACCTCTACATCATCAGTGTTATATTTTTATTCTTAAAAACCCTGACTTACACAACAAGTCGCATGTAGGGAACAGAAAACCTTTAAAAAATTATAGAGAAATGCCTTATGTATCAAATTTGATGCATATCAATGAACTAATTTAACTTTCTTTTTTGATGTCATTTGTCAGAAAGTTCACTGACAATTCTAATAAAGTGTCAATTACTTTATGGTCCAGGCTTTAAAGGGTTAATCTAACAGTCATGGTTTCGGACTGTGGGAGGAAGCCGGATGCCCCGGAGTTCACCTTCTTGCTGCAAGGCAGCAGTGATACCCACTGTGCCAATGATGCCTTAGGGAAATCTTATGAAATAAAGCCAGGTGATACTCAATCTTTTCCACTTTAGGGGTTCTGGATAGAGCATATCGACAGGCAGAGATGGGAAGTAAAGAAGTACAAATACTTCGTTACTGTACTCAAGTAGATTTTCCTGATATTTTTACTTTACTTTACTACTTATTTTTATGACGACTTTTTACTTCTACTCCTTACATTTTTACACAAATATCTGTACTTTCTACTCCTTACATTTTAAAAAATTGGCTCGTTACTTTAGTTTTGAATAATTTCAATGGAGTTACCGTTATTATTTTTCACGTCATCAATACCAGATTTAATCTAATTGGATGGGAATCTACGTTGCATTTGACGCACCACTACAAGATGAATCGACAGATTCGGCGGTATTCATTGGCGGCAAATCATTGCAGCTTGGTGGCGGTGGCGTTAGCATAGTAGCATGGACGACGAGATGACTGAAAATGAACACAACGGAGATCTAGTCCTATTGGCAGACATCCATTTAAAATGTAGGCAACGGCATGAAAAAAGTGGTTTCTACTTTTACTTTTATACTTTAAGTAAATTTACAAGCCTGTACTTTGTTACTTTTACTTGAGTAAAGAAGTTTAATCAGTACTTCCACTTTTACCAGAGTATTTTTTAACACAAGTACCTGTACTTTTACTCAAGTACGGAAAGTGAGTACTTTTGCCATCTCTGTTGACAGGCAAAAATTTTTTTTATCCTAAATGCAAAATATTTACAATATTTTTTTTAGAATTTTGGTGTAATTACTGCTCTGATTGGGTTGCTTTACCAGCTAAAAGCATGCTTTACAGTCTCTATACTCTGGTTAACGATCAACGAATTACTAAATTAGTAGACGATTATTTCAATACGATTAATACGATTGTTTCAGTCACATTTGGGTCCATACATACCAAAGTTTTATCATATTTGAATACTCATTTCCATACTCATAACCATTTTGTGCTTGAAAAACTAATTAAAGCGGATTATCTGACCTCAGGTTTGTCAGAGAACATTAATGCAGGGTTCCTACAGCATAAGGCAAGTTAAATTCAAGACTTTTTAAGACTTTTTAATGTCACTTGAAATAAAAATTTAAGACCAAATTTACAAGAAACACAAGAAAAACCTGCTTGCGACAACTTAACCCAAAGGTTTATTATAACATAAACCACTGCACTAATGTTTCAAATTTTGAAAAGCTTCCCATACAGGAAGAAAGCTAAAAACACAAATATGACAGACATATTTTAACAATTATTTAACTGAATTCACAAACTTTGTTTTAGCAGGGAACAAAACAAATCAGTCTTAAAGCCACAACATAACCAGTGCTAAGTCTTTTTTGTAGCTATTTTTCTTTGTATGGTTTTCTTAGTATGTTTGATTTGGTGATAAGTGGAGGCGTTGCAGAGACAAGGGTGGAACTAAACTGAGAAATACCGGCTGTTTCTCTGTAACTCCATTTTGACGCTTTGTGTTTCGTGCTTCGCATGTGCGACTCCACTGCCTTAATTCCCATCGTTCTGAGCTTGAATGACTTCTTGCACAAAATCCACTGAGCCTCATGCATGTTCCCTGGTTTTAAGCCATGGAGAAAACTCTTGGCTGGAGACAATTTTCATTACATTTACACTTGCTCATATTTTCCAGACAAAAAGTTAATGGTGCATCTCCCAAATGTCCCGGCCGCAACAGCGCTTTTATTGGTTCCCCTATTGGGGCGGAAGCAATAATGGCGAGCCGTTATTTTTTTTAAATAAATAAAAAATTGTCAATTTGAATGTTTTATTTAGATTACAAAAAGAAATCGTAATAAATATAATCCTATTTATGATATTTTAAAAATTAAGACCTACAAAAGACTGATTTAAGACATTTTAATACCAATTAAGGCCTTAGTTTTATTTTGAAGAATTCAATGCCTTTTAAGACTTTTTAAGGAGCCGCAGGAACCCTGTAAAAAGAAGCTTAAAGGGACAGTTTAAAAACACTTCACATCTAAAACCATCTGTACTGGTTTCAATCATACATTCCCAATACAAACACATTAATGGTTGATTTTTATTCATCTGTCAGATTGTATCTAAAACCACCAACGTTCTCACCAACACTCGCAGGGAGGAGGATCTGATGTGGCGGTTGATCTCTTCGACCCACTGGTGGCAGATGGAGCTAGGGGAAATGATGAGTGTGGCACCAGTGGATACTGGTTTCATAGCTACCAGGCAGTGAGGACAGTAAAAGGGGGTTGTCGTAAGACTTTCCTCTTTATAGTTGACACAGTCTGCATGTTGCCACAGCTGACAGTTCATACACTGCACGCGGGCCTTGTAATCAATAACGCCCAGCTCTCCACAGATGCACTCAAAGCGGTAATCCAGGGTGTTGAACGGGACCACCGATGCTCTGGTGGGAGTTTCTGTCTCGTCCTGAGAATCCGTCTGAGAGGCTTCTCCTCTTTCTTCGAGCGGCTCGTTGATTCTGGGAATGTCCTCACCTTTCTCCTGGGGTATCTTCACAGATGCTGCGGTAGTATCCATCGATTCATCCTCCTGATCAGCCCGCTCGTTCAAACGTTCATCCCACTGCTTCCCTTCTTTTCCTTCTGTCTCACACCAGTCAGACGCAGGACTCAGATCTCTTTGATCATCTGACAGGGAGTTTTGCAGAGCTGCCTCTGCCTTCTCTTTTGCTCGTCTCTGAAACATTTTCCTAGGCGTGCTCTCTGCCGTTTTGAAAATCTAACATAGAAAAACACAGATTAAAGCCACAAATCAAACACAATGATTAATAAGCATCTTTTCTTTCTTTTTTTCAAACAGTTATGGACTCTTACAGACTTGGGTGCTCCTGACAGGATCTTTTTTGTTTCTTTGTAGTTTTTTCCCAACTTGAACGACCCCGCCAAGCCTCTACCCTTGACCCGGTCGACCATGCCCTCATTTATTAGCTTCGCCAGCGTCTTCTTGATGTGATTGCGGTTCTTCAGGAGGTCAAAGCCGTATGTGGCCCGGATGTAGGTGAAAACAGCGTTGACTGAGGCTCCTTTGCCGGTCCGCATTTCCTTTATCGCATTTAGCAATATCACACGCACGGCTGAGGAGAAAAACATTTCGATTACTATGAAACGAACTTTAAACACTCTAAAGAGTCCAAGATAAATGCAGGTGATGTACTTGGGTGGGAGGTTTTTATTTTGGGCTGAGCTTCAGACTTGCAGCGGGTAACTTTCTTTTCTAAAGGACGAGGAGGAACGAAGTAATTTACAGATTTTCCCTATAAAAGGAAGAAGGTGACACATTTAGAAAAAAAAACTACTTTTCAAGCATGAAATAAAAAAAAAGAAAGTAGTAAACAACAGAGCCGCACCACAGGCAATGTGAAGGCCTCCTGCTCCAGATTCTGTCGCGTATGAAAAAGGATAAGCGCCAAGACCTCCACTGTTTTCCCGAGGCCCATCTCATCAGCAAGGATCCCACCAGGCCACTCAATACCAGCGAGAGGGAACTCTCGAATTAAGCTAAATTCACAGGAAAAATAGAAAATATTTATCATTGGAAATTATCATCAAAAAGAAGCAATAGAATGGAGGAAACAATTAGAACTGCAAGGTGCAAAGGAAGGGGTCCGAGTCTGTCCCTCCCCATACCTCCCACGCACTCACAGTAGGCCAAAATTATTATGCTGTGCCATATCGTATGATCATGGTTCTTGGACACTGAGAAACAGTTTACATATTTCATCTTGACATGATGACCAGAGAATAGGATGCAATTTTCAGTCGGCCTCGGCAGATGGCCGCTCACACTGAGCCTGGTTCTGCTGGAGGTTTCTTCCTGTTCAAAGGGAGTTTTTCCTCTCCACTGTCGCTACAAGCATGCTTAGAGTGAGGGATTGCATTCGAGTCAATGAGTCGATGCAATCAACTGGTTTTCCTTAGATAGAAAACTTTGAATCAATTTGACTGGATGATCTGGTTGAACTGTAAAGTGCTTTGAGATGACTTGTGTTGTGAATTGGCGCTATAGAAATAAACTGAATTTAATTGAATTTTGGCTCATTAACAGCCGTAAGACCTCTGCAAGTCATGATGGTGACTTTTCAGAACCGAACTGCTGTAAAAAAGACTTTTTGCAACACATTTCTCTTGAGATTCAGAACAAACAGATCCAGACTGTAGGACAAAGTCTCCTAAGGATCCTTTGGTGTGAGCCATATGGACAAGAAAGCCTGCCTTGCTGTTAGCCTGCCTGCTAAGCTGCATGAAAACTCAAGCATTCCAAATGGACATGGACAAAAGGTTTGCAGGTCTGGCACAATTTAGGGACAGAACAAACAATATGTCTTTTGAGGATTTTGGTCTTTTTAATGTGTTTACTGATGAGTAAAGACAAAGCTAACAGGATGGACTGCATGCCGTGCAATGCTATAGTAACATGTGTTGAGCTGTTGTTGAAGGTTGGGCAAGCTTTATTTCACTAAGAGTTTAAACACCGATATAACATTAGTGTTCATGTGTTCCTCAGATGCTCATTTCCATTAACAAGTATGACCAAGAGTCGCTGCTAGCTATTTCAAATAATCATTTGACTAAAGGTTATTGGTTCTTGATTAAGCAAATCATTTAATAAAACATTTTTGGCCAAATAATGTTGTATTAATCTTTATTCATCATCATATCCCAAATTCTTCCAGATAAACACAAATCCATCTGAAACTGTAATATGGTTTTCAACCATGTTTCCCCTTCCTCTTCTAACATAGTAGTTTAGTTTAGTTTCACTAGTCTTAGTTGAGAGTGTTAAACTAAAATATATGCTAGGAATGCTGAATGATTTCTGTTAATAAACTCTTATATTTTGAACAGAAGTTGTGGAGAATTTTTTCCATGTATGTGCAGAAATAACTGTTTGACCATGATTAGTGCTTGAATCACTCTTTCATTTATTGTTCTAACACAGCTAGTAGGGCGTGTGTTCATAAACAATAAATAACAGCCGAAATAATATCTGATTAAATAAGATATTTACCACCCCTACCGGGAAGGGCAATAAACATCTTAAAGTATCAGAAATATAAATTCCTAGCTGGCTGGGAATTGAATATAACTGTTATGCGCACTTTCATCTGGTTTGGTCTGCCGCGGTTTCCATAGACTCGTGAACGCGCTTTTAGGAAATCCTATACCCTACTGTTTATGCTCTAAAAACATTCTAAATGACTTATTTTCGAGTAAATTCTGGATGCTACCCACTCAGGACACTTGGAATACATTGGACAAGCAGTATGGAGGAATATTGACACATTTTTTGTGGACTTTTATGGACCTTTCTGTCTCGGGCACCATAGACCTCCATTATTTGATAAAAGTACTCCAGGGTGTTGTTCAGCATGGGGGGGAGTAGAAAATGAAGGCTAATTATGTTTTGGGTGTACTATTCCTTTAATATGGCATCCAACCTGGATGGGAATTTAACATAATATAATATCACAACAATTTGAAAACCATTTTTTAAAAGCTCTCACTTCTCACTTAATTATTCATAAAAAAAAAAAAATCTTTCAATCTTGCTGCTTTTTGTAATTCTTTTCTTTTTTAAAAATGTCATTTCTTTTTCTTCTTAACGTGGCGCCACACAGGGTTAGAAGTGAATAAACTGGGTTCACCACCTCAGGATTACGCTTCTTGTTTGGGATGTAAATTCATTTCAATATCTGAAATAAAATAATAGAAGTGACCAAAAAGCAAGACCAGCGGTAAAACATTCTTCATGTAGAAATTCCTATTTATTCTAAATTTTAAAATACTGGCGCGTTCTGTCTCTTAATAAGATGCACATTTTTGGACCATTCAGGCCTAAAATAATCATCATTGTTTCCAATGCTTGATTCAGATTCATTCACCTGTTTCACTAAAACAGTTTTTTTTCTAAAGATTTTGTGGATGAAGACTTGTTGACTGGTATTTGAACCTTAAATGTCAACATTAAGGACTACCAGCCTCTATGAAGAGCTACTCCACATGCAATCCAAAATAAAACGTTTGTGTTCAGCTTTAGCACCACCTACAGGTGAGAGCTTTATTCCTTGAACCCCAGTCGGCCTCAGCAGATGGCCGCTCACACAGAGCCTGGTTCTGCTGGAGGTTTCTTCCTGTTAAAAGGGAGTTTTTCCTCTCCACTGTCACTGAGGGATCGCATTTGAGTCACTGAGTCAATGCAATCAAATGGTTTTCCTTAGAAAGAAAAAAACTTCAATCAATCAATTTGACTGGATGATCTGGTTGAACTGGAAAGTGCCTTGAGATGACTTGTGTTGTGAATTTGGCGCTATAGAAATAAACTGAATTGAATTGAATTCTATGTATTTTACATAAGTTTTAGGAAATCTACAGTATTACTGGTTTAGGCTGCAGCTTAAGTCTTACTAGGAAGAAAAGGAGCAGAAAACTGGATTGCTTGATTTTTCTGGATTGGATTTGGAGATGGATTTATTTTATCATTAATGATTTACTCCTAGATGTCCATGACAACAGACCTTAAAACTACTAATGAAAAATAGAATTAAAAATGCAGACAAAGCCATGAAATACACCAAGAACATAAATCATTTTTATACAAGGGATTGTTTCCATCTTAATAGCAAATATTTTAAGATTATTTTGTTTTGTCAACAATATACCAGGAGTTCTTACCAGCCAGTAAAAGGATTATAAAACAATTTCTTGCCGCATAAAGTCACCAACTCTCGCCAGAGGAAATGTAGGGATTGTTCTATGAACAAAGCACAGAAAACATATTATAATCTTAATGATCTAAAACTGACAGAACCTTTTGAATTTACATCAATGAATGAATAAAATCCAAAGGATCAAAAGAACAGAAGAATTTTCACTGCTGTAGCTGCGAATTATAACAATCAGAATCTTAGGCAGAGAAATGTGTTATTGGAAAATGTTGTGATGGCAATAATATCAGTAAATATCGAGATAAAGATCTGAGTGGGGGTAAGCATTTATAGCATTAGTTATTGTTATCTTGACCAATCATGATAAGAATTTTGATCAATTATCTAAACGATAAATTGCAATCAATGATAAATTAATAACTTTAGAAATTAGGTGAGTTGTCAAACTGTTTATTTTTACTATTTTCCTTCTTTTTCTTTCATTTTTTCCATTGCAAAATTGACAAATTTTAAGAATATGATTAGATGCTCTTACTATAAGATGTTATATAAATCATAATCCTTGATCTAACTGGAGATGCTTGTCTTTTATTACATGTGTTGTTTTTATTTAAATGTGTTATTTATGAGTATCGAGCTTTGATTGCTGCTGTAGCAGTCACAGTCATACAGGACTTATTTTTAGTTAACGGGATAATATCCAATATCTTGATAAGATTTTAATTGCATATTGCCATGCCCTGGATATCCGCCTCCTGTTTTCTCCTTTCTTCTCTCTCCTATCTGTCCATTTGTGACCTTTAGCATTCAGGGAAAAGTCATTTATTTGTTTCAGCTGGCTAGCTATTAATAAGCACGTAATTAAAAAGTTAATAACACTTGGGATATAAACCCCATTTACTCCATTTTCCCTTTTGAAATTGTGCCAAGGGTGGTTCAAACATAGCTTGATAAAACAGACTAAATGTGAGATTAAATGTGTAATTTAGTCTGGCCCCGATGAATGAGACATCGGAAGATTGATGATGAGAGTAACCCGTTGTTTTTCAAACTATGTCTGTGCCTATTGGCCAACGCTTTGACCGATGAGCGCAACTGACTGTGACTTTATAAGCGCAACAGAAGGCTGGTGGGGGAGTGGAAACAAACAGCCTGTCGGGAAAAACGGCGAATACGACCTTCTTAAAACTCAAACAGTGGGGCGATGGTTCTTTTGCCGTCGCTGCTCCCAGACTGTGGAACAAACTACCCCCTGACATCCACACCACTACTGACCTCAGCCTTTTTTTTAAAAAACTTAAAACCCACTTTTTTAAATTAGCTATTAAATCTGACTAGGATAATACTGTCTCTTAGATGTCCTCTTTCTGTGTTCTCCTTTCTATGCACCTCTGGAAGGCTTTTAATGTCCTGCAGCACTGCACCACTACAGCACTTTTAATTGTATCTTGTATGTTTTATATGTGTTATGTATTGTTTTATGGCTTTGTTGTAAAGCACTTTGGGTACCATTTGGCTATTGTAAAGGGCTATATAAATAAATGTGATTTGATTTGATTTAAAAATGAATGAGTGTAGAGCCTCTTCCTGCTCACGTTTCAACAAAAACCCCAAGTCTTAACCTTCCAAAACTGATTCCAAAGCTGAGTCAAAAATCGCCATCAGAGCCAGCGGTCCTTCACACTCGACTATGCCGAGAGAGGGCCTCTGCAGACGGGCTGACGTTAGCCCTGGCTGCTGTTAGCCTCAGAAGTCCGCTGGTTGCCGTGGTCCTTTCAACTTCGGAAATAGTTTTTTTTTATTACGCATTAAATCGGTAAAAGACCCATATAGTGACGTATAATATTCTGGCCTCAAATGATCTTAAAACGTACTTACTGTATATTGAACAGCAGCAACAGAAAAGAGAACTTTTAACTTTCAATGGAGCGCTCCATTGAAAGCTGCTGCTGCCGCAGTTCATCATGCATTCAATAGTTGTTGCCATCTTCCTTGCTGTGCTTTCTCCAGCGTCGCGCAGCTTTGTCGTCACGCCTTAAAAACCCCACCCGCTTTGCATCCAAAAATTCCAAATACGTCTCTGCGTTATGATTGGCCCGCCAGTTCTAGGGCCTGGGGCATTGATGGAGGCTAGACCAACTCGCAGGCAAAAATGATTTTGGCCTCTGGCGGGTGGAGCTTGTTTACTAGGCTAGTCCGAGCATGGTACCCGAGATAACTGTTGAGTGTAAGTGGCACGCAAACTGAACCGGACTGTGCCAGACACAACTGAACCGCGCTAATCTAGTGCTAGTTCATCAGTAAGGCTCAGCACGAGTCAGTTTTGGTTCGGGTTTCTGATAACGAAGAGCACATGAGCAGACCATGTCATCTCCTTACAGTTAGCTTCCAGTAGTTGGCAGTAATGCGCATCTTAAGTTATTTGCCAACCACCACAACACAGAAGAAGAGGAATTGTAAATTACATTTTTTAAAATGGCTTCAAAAGAGCGGCTTTTATTGCTATTTTGGCGGACGACGCTATCCAGGCGATGTTGGACAGAACAAAACATAATCACTAAGTTTTCCTACGACAGCAGTAGTACCGTAGGTCGTCACTAGGAGGCAAGGAACCGTGCTAGCGTAATTCGTAAATGGTTGTAAGGAACCGAGCTCAGCACGGTTAACTGATCCAAGCTTGGTCCAAACTCAGCACGGCTTCCAGTGGGTAGTGTAAATGGAGCTATAGTAGTCAATAATTATTACACTCCAGTCGTTTGCTACAATACATTAAATTTCACTCACTGATACTGCATTGACTATGTATTCAGATATATTGGGCAACTCTAATCTCTAGTAATAATCTGAACTAATGAATTTAGAAGGTTTGAACTTAACAATCATACCTTTAGGTGCAATGATGCCGTATTTCTCTCTCCTCAGCATCCAGTTAACTGCCTGGCTCTGATACGGCCTGAGGACGGGAATCAGAACCTGGTGCTGGACGTCATACGTCACATCCTGGTTCTGCTTCTGATGCTGGTGCCTCACGTAATCGTAAAGTTCCTCCACATTTTGCCTCTCAAGGTCCGTGTCACACTCCTCCTCCTCGTTATCTACAACTTCTGTATGAGGGAAAAAGAATAAACTGTTATGAGACTTTTCTACAGATGTCAGGGATTACTTTAGCAGCTTTACAAATGGGGTCCAAACACCAACCAGGGATGATGAAATCGTAGAAATATTCCATGAGTTTCTGCATGAGCTGATTGGCTTTCTTCAGACGAGCGTTTCCCTCACTGAGGAACTCTGGCTTTCCGAGCCCAGTTTCTAGCAAATAAATTCCCACCTGTCAAACAGAGCCGATACAAAGCTGTCGTGTAACATGAAGAAACATCAATATCATACTCTAAACTAGCTCTCAAAACAGGACAGAAATATCTCTAAAACATCCCAATCTGTCATAATTAATAAACTACAATGCTACCAACAACTTCATTATTTCATGGAACTTAAATTACTACATTAAAAATATCAATTACAAACATACTCTTTCTGCTTCCAAGTATTGAGGATGATTTAACAATATTACATCAAATCAATAATAATTTTTAATCCAGAAATGTATCCTAGATTAAAAAGAAAGTATATTTAATACCTGCTTAAAGGTTCTTATTTTCAAAAGGTACGTTAAATCTGAAAAACAAGCCTTTTATTTTGCACTGTTTTTATCTTTCTGTGAAGCCCTTTGGTCTTCCTGGTGTTGTTGTATAGTAAGTGTGGGTATTACCAAAGAAGTCCCGATTCGATTCAAATCACGATTCACATGCCACGATGCGATTCTATCACGATGCATCATGATGCTTGAATTATTGCGATGCATTGCGATATTTTTACTGAACACTGTTAGAAAAAAATACAGCCCTTACCAGTGGCTGACTGGCTGCGTGTGATGTGGTTAGTGTTTTCAATTGATACATTGATACAACTGAATTCATACATTGCTGTATTTATTGAAAAGACTTTTGGAAGTACTGCCATGAAAACAAATACTGGACAGAAATATTACTATTACTGGAGTGGACACACTGACAAAAAGATCTTAGGATTTTTAAAACTTGAAATAACAACATAAGGATAATCAGTGCGGTTTACATGGCCTCAGTGGTATTTTAAACCAATGAAATGGAAAGATTCAAATGTATGACATCTCCCCTTTTGCAAATTACGTGCGTCATATCAATTTCGTTTTTAAAGCCTAAATGCATTCAAACATCTAACTTGAAATGTGATGGAGCCGGGCGAATTTTCTCAGTCTCCTCCGTGTTTTGTTTATGAATGACTCGTCGCAGTTTCCCTCGGAAGGAAATGCTTGTGACACAAAGCAGCGGGCGTCAACACATCCGCAGCGACATCTACTAACTGGAAGCTGTATTCCACTTGTTTTTGGCGGATGTGCGCCAACCATTCATGTATTTTATTTATTCCTTTTTTAAATTAAGAATCAATACTTGGCATCAAGAATCGATGCAGTAGATCACAACAATTAGAATTGATTGTATAGTGCTATATAAATAACCTTTGATTTGATTTATTTACAATTATGGAAATAGTAAAGCAAAATGCATAATATTAGAAGATTTTTAGGAATTATATATATTAGGACCAAGGCTAATTGTAAATCATTAATATGCTTTAATCTAAATTCTATTGCAGCTGCGGCTGTCCATTTATAGTTCCTGTCCTGCTGGAAGATGAAGCTCCATCCCATTCCAACTTATCTGCAGCTTCAGACAGATTTATTTTTTGGATTATGAAGGTGTAGCCCCAATCGACTTCCTATGAACTAGATTCCTTCCCTCTGCTAAAAAGGAGCTTGACGAAGCGTTCAGTGGGATTTAGAGTGTTAGTTTTAAATGACACTTTTTCACATGGCGGCAAAAAGTTTAACTTTGGTGTCTTCTGACCCGAGCAACTTCTTTCACATGCTTGCTAAGTTTCTACACTGTGTACAGAATTATTAGGCAAGTTGTATTTTTGAGGATTATTTTTATTATTGGGCCACAATCGTGTTCTTAATCAACCCAAAAGCCTCGTTAATATCAAAGTTTCATATTTTTGGAAGTTGATCTAACTGCTGCTCCCCTCTGAAAGACATCTGACAATTTTTGACTCTTCAGAGTTTGTCAAATCTCTTTTCTGACCCATTTTGCCGATGGAAAGGAAGTAGCCTAATAAGCACACCTTATATAGGGTGTTAATGTCATTAGGCCACACCCCTCCTCATTACAGAGATGCACACCACCTGATTTACTTAATTGGTAGTTGACTTTCAAGCCTATACAGCTTGGAGTAGGACAACATGTATGTTGTGGTTGAAATACTCATTTACCTAATAATTCTGCACACAGTGTAGTAGCTTTCCTCTGGTCACTCTTATATAAATGTTACATTTGAATAAGGTTATTCGAACAACTGCTTGCTGGAATTTTAAAGTATTCATTTGCAGAAAACAAACAATGACCATATATGTTCTAATTTGTGTACCACATAGAACCCCAACAAAATGCTTTTAATTTTGTGTTTGTTAAGGAATAAAATGTTTAAATGCTCTGGATAGAAGCTCTTCAGCAAGGCACTGTACCTTAACTTCCTGTTCTTTTGTCTGGTGGCAGAGTTCCACCACCCTCCTCTTTTGCAGCCAGCTCAGGTCCTCGTACGGGATCCTACTGAGGCTGCACTCCACTGGGCAGCTGTCATCCTCAGGGCTCCACTGAAGCCCAGAGCTCTCATCACCGCTGCTATAACTCAGGTAGAGCTGCTCACCAGTCCGACACAACATAAAAGATCTCTGCTCGTAGTCGGAAGGCAGCCAAGCTGGCCTGATGCTGAACTCCCCGATTAGAGCTTTCCAGATGTGGCCCATCTTCAAAACTGGCACCACAGAGAGTGCCAGAGAGGTGGATGCTGAGGCACTATCTGAGGACGTACTTGGAAGTTCATCTAAAAACTGAGACAAATTGGTGCAGGGAGCCTCTGGGATATGTTCTACCGCTGAGAAAAAGGAGCTGCTGGCAGTGGGGTCGGCTGTAAGGCAGGAAGAGGATGGAGTCTCGTCACCTTCCTGGATCCCGTCGTTTTTGCGGTCCTCCAGCATGTTCCACTCAAGCCTCCTCTTTGATTCCTCATCCACCCTCACAGGAGGGGCCCTCTTTCTCCGACTGCTCATTGTCAAACCCTAAGCAGTTAAAAAAATACAAATATTAAACTTATTTACCTTTCAAAAGTAAATATCCATTTAATAACAATACTGATTCGGCATTGTTTCCTATAAATGTAATTTCATTCTGCTTGCTGCAAACAGATAGTAGAATTCCTGACTGATACGGATGGCAAGTTTAAGTTGATTTTCTCATTAAAGTGCTTTTTATTATTTCTCTCTATTAATGGCAACAACTTTTATCCTCGTTTAACGACAATCCTATAGACATACTAATATTTTGCTGATAATAAAATGCTGCTTATCTACAGATAAGCCTGACACACTTGATCTAAGCTGTAAGAGATCCCTTTCTATTTAGTTCTAAGACAAGCTGGGTCTGCAAGTAAAATGTTTCCACCTGAGGAATTCTGGGTGGAGGATATTGATAGATTAATTCTAATTTTTTTTACAATTTATTATAACTGCTCTAAGTGGGTTTCTCTGTCAGCTAAAGGCATGATTTAGAGTCTCTAACCTTCAGTTAATGTTTAATCATTCACTAAATTAGTTGACCAATATTCCAATAATCACTTAATCATGATTACTCTGATTAATTGTTTCAGCCCTATTGTTGATTAATTAAATAAATCAATTAATCGTTAACTGGAGTATACAAACTCTTAACATGCTACCAGCAGTAATTAAACCAAATATGTAAACAAGATATAAACATCTTCTATTCTATTTAAAACCTTTTTAAACCCTGTAAATATGCTCTATCCCCTTAAGTGACAGAGCTTTAGCTTCACAAGGTTAAAATTCTGTATTATACCTTTAAGGCACCTTTTGCTATCCAATTATTAATCTAAATCATAACTGACAGATTAATCAAAAACAAAAATAACCCTTACTTGCAGCTCCAGCTCATAGATTTGAATGTTTTCTCAGCTATTATCATTAGTGGTGCCCCATCAACAGAAAAATAACAATCCTAAAAAAAAAAAAAAGGCCACCATCACTATGTGTAGTTTGCTGCATACCACTTCATAGGGATGTAGTAATCAGGTCGATATCAGCCAAAAACAATCATAATATCAACCTGAATCTAAAATCTCTAATATAAGCAACATTCTGCTTCTGTTTATGTAACTGATTGGTTATAATTAGTTTTTCTCAGAGATATTCTTTTTTTTTTCTGTAATATAATTTAATAATACCTTTTCTAACATTATAAATATGCAAAATTTGTTCATAAGGTCTTAAAATGTATATTTCATGTTAAGGTGGTAAGTTGCTCAATGTCATTGTAATGTTTCCTCTATTTTTTATCTATGAGTTTTTAGCATCACTTAAACCTGTAAGGTACTATACGTTTATAAACATAACACGCGCGCGCGCACATAAGGTGGTGACATTCATCATTTCGGACATATATTGGTTGTTAAAGCATTTTGAAATCTTTTTGATATCAGAAATTACAGAGACGTCTACGAAATATGTTCCAGGGCATAAAACCGCCTCTAATTTAGGCTAAAACGTACAGATAATCGTCATCTAGTAGTTTTTTCCCCACATGAACAAGGTACTGCTTCAGATTTACGAAAGAGGCAGCCATGCTTTCGGTAAATAAACAATGATACATCGGCAGCACTTTCGTAACACTGAGGATTTAATAGTGTGGCAGTTTATAGCAAATGACATTAAAACGCATATTTACTTTCTGAGCCGCTCCAGGTACTTTTAATGTTGCACAAGTGGCTGCATGATAAAGCTGGTCCCCATTAACGAGAAGTAACGATAACAATACACAGCTCAGTTGTTTACAGCGACGCTCTTCTCGGCCATCTTTACATACAGGAAGTGACGTCACTATGAGGAAGGAAAAAAAATTTTCGGATCTCCGAAATTTTTTATTTTTTATTTACCAAAATAAATAAATATATATTTTAAATATATAATATATAATATATATATATATATATATATATATATATATATATATATATATATATATATATATATATATATATATATATATATATATATATATATATATATATATATATATATATATATATATATACAAACAAATATGGCACACAGTAATTCAAAAGTACGTAGGCATAAAGAGGTACATTTAGGTATTGAAAATATAAAGTCAACATCTTTTAAACAACATTGAGTGACAAAATCCATAAAAAAAAAGGGGAGCAGTGTGGTTCAGAATGAAGTTCTATCAACATTTTATACAGGTCTTCATATTTTGCAGTACGTTCCAGAGATTTCAGACATAAATTGAATTCTCATTAGAAGGAAAAAACAAGTCAAAAATTGGTGGTGATTTTAGTACTCTGCATTCGTGAATGAAGAATTTTCGCTAACAAAATATGAGATTACAACTAGTGTTGCGCTGATACTGATACCAGTATCGGGTGGGGCCCCAATCCAGCACTAAAATGGTGGTATTGGTATCGGCCAGTACCGACAAATAGGGCACTGATACCATTTTGAGAGCCAAAAGTTTATTCAACTATTGTCACTCATTCCAGGTAGGCAATAAAAAGTTCTACTGGATTTACTTTGTATTAGTTTTTTTCCTGCTTCACAAAGGTAGGCAGCAGCTTGACAAAGCTTTGTAAAGCTTTAACTAATCTAGTAAATTCAGTTTTAGAGGGGTAAAAATGTTAATTCATGCAAAATTGTTTATAATTTCACATGTAATCATAATCGTCCACAAAGTGTACAACAGACTATATTTTTTCCATCCAATTTCTATGAAATAATGATTTATTGTTATATAGTATGATTCCATATAATAGTAGAGTGTGGAGAGTAGTTATGTACATAGAGCATTTTCTAGTATAATAATGCTTGTTTATGAAACTCTGATAGTTTAATGGGGAGTTTATGAACAATAAAATCAGCTAGTAGTAGAAGTTGTAGACCTCCAAGAGGTATTGGGATAAAATTCCTTTAAAAAAATTCAGTTTTTAATCTAGGATTTTAGTCATTAATTTTATGAGTACCATTAAGGCAGTCAAAATCAATGAAATATGATTGATTAATATCTAATTTATTTATGGTTGGTCCTCTCCATGATCTATCTGGTCATATTACGCATATTATGGTATAAGCATGAGCGTAGGTTTTCATAGGGACCATTGGGACATGTCCCTACCAAAATTTTGGACACACCTACCTGTCCCTATCAACAATTAGATGTGAATACCATGTTTATAATTAAAAATACAGCGTTGTTGCAGCAGTAGAGGAGTTCTAGATGGAGAATATTGAAAGACGAAAACGTGTTTTATCTAAAAGGCAAAATATTTATCAATTTTTTTTTACAATTTTAGTATAATTCTTGCTCTAAGTTGGTCACGCTTTGAGCTAAAGACATCTTCTAGAGTCTCGATACTCCATAATGATTAATCGATTACTAAATTAGATTACATTATTTCAATAATTAATTAATCCAATTAATTGTTTCAGCCCTAAATAAAAAACATGAAATGGGTTAAACAGAGTAACTACAGCCTAGATGTAGAACTTGTAGAGTGAAGTTAACATATTAAAAGCTCACTGTCAGTTCCTCATCTAGTTCCAGTTCACATGTAAATACAAGACATTTATTTGGCGTCCCTTGATTCTATTATTTCACTGTGTTTTATGGTACAAAAAGAACATTTAAAAGATAAGAGTGAGTTTTACCTCTGTTAGCCTCCGCACAATTCTACATCTTCAAAATAAAAAAAGTATAAATCCACACATAACAAACATATTTAGACTCTATTCTGTTAAATAGGCACATATTTACCTACTGTCTTAGTCACTGGTAATTTCAAATGCAAACCTTTTCAAAGTCCTATTTACTCATTCATCAGAGCCAGTTAAGCTTCAGTCATTGATAAACAGCATCTAGTGTGTGTAGTGCTTATAAAATTTGTGTAAATGAAGCAAGAAATGTTGCTTTTGTCTTTAAACGAAATACACCCTGATTTTCACGTGTAGCATAAAAAAAAACGAGCATGCATATTTTTGCATAAGACCAATTACATCAAACCTACATTAAATCAAACCTACGCCGTTGGGTATAAGAGCACAAAGGGACGAAGTAGAGATGAAACGTTTCAAAAATATTTTAAAATGAAAGGTTGTCGTATCATGTCTTTACCGCATGGTGTCGCCAGAGAGCGGCCTCCTTTATCAGCTGCACCTTCAAGATGCACATGCATCACATCTGTCCGTATCGAAATGTAACAGGAGCGAAATTTTAATGGAAGTTTGATGAGTCCCTTTATATTAGGCGAAGTTATTTTTTCGGAGGGCCTCCTACGTCATGTTGTTTTGGCGCAGTCTTCTTAGCCATAAAAGTTGACGTTTTTTTGATTACTGAATACCTTCCTTTTTCTTTTTTCTTTTCTTTTTTTTTTTTTACATCAACCCCAATATTTCGCCCCCAAAATCGGATTTGTAAGTGCGTCACCGTCCCGCCCAGACGTTTACAAACCGTGCACTCAAATCAGGGACACTGCAGTGACTATGACCCGCTTTTAAGATGCAGTGAGGGAAAGGAGAAGAAGGGGGCATCAGTGCAGATAGAAAAACAGAGAGAGGGAGTCAGTCTCACTGTGATCTGTTGGTGAGAAGAAGCTGGGGTTCAGTCTGGCTGCAGCACAGGAGACACAGAGCCCGCATATCCGGAGCTGCCTGTCGCAGGTAAATAAACTCATGTTTGCTACCTGAAAATCTGCTTCCTAAATCCTATTAAATATGCAGCTTTACCTGATTAATATGCTTGTGCATGTAAGATCTACAGTTGTAACTATTGCATTGTCAGTAAAATGTATCTAAGCGCAGGTATATTTATATTTTTCTGTGATGTTTTAAGGTAAAAGTTAAAAAGATCAATAAAAAAAAACAAACAAATGATTTCTTCAACGTAACACAGGTTGCTGTCCAAGGTGCTGAAACTAAAAAGCTTTCCCTTGTGACAGGAAACTTGACGCCATCCAGAACTGTCAGGTATTTTCAAC